TGCTTCTCCATTCTTGTGATGTTTTACTAAGAAAAATATGTTCCACTTTTATCCAGGTTAATACAAATCATGTAGAGTCTCCATCTTTTTGAATGGCTGAATAGTATTCCATGGTATACATATACCACAGCATGTTAATCCATTCCTGGGTTGATGGTCATTTAGGCCATTTCCATATTTTGGCAATTGTAAATTGAGCTGCAATAAAAAGTTAGTGCAAATGTCCTTATGGTAAAAGGATTTTTTTTTTTTTCTGGGTAAATGTCCAGTAATGGGATTGTAGGATCAAATGGGAGGTCTAGTTTGAGTTCTTTGAGGATTTTCCATACTTCCTTCCAAAAAGGTTGTCTTAGTTTGCAGTTCCACCAGCAATGTATAAGTGTTCTCTTCTCTTCACATCCATGCAAAAATCTGCAATTTGGGGATTTTGTGATGTGGGACATCTTCACTGGGATTAGGTATTATCTCAGGGTGGTTTTGATTTGCATTTCTCTGATAATTAGGGACAGTGGGCATTTTCTCATATGTTTGTTAGCCATTCATCTATCTTCTTTAGAGAAGGTTCTATTCATTTCTCTTGCCCAGTGATATAAGGAATTGTTGGCTCTTTTTATGTTGATTAATTTGAGTTCTCTGTAGATCCTAGTTATCAAGCTTTTTTCTCATTCATAATATGCAAATATCCTTTCCCATTGGATAGGTTGTCTATTTGCTTTGGATGTTGTCTCCTTAGCTGTACAGAAGCTATTCAGTTTAATTAAGTCCCATTTGTTTATTTTTGTTATGGTTGCAATTGCCACAGAAGTCTTCTTCATACAGTCTTTCCCCGGACTGATATCTTTAAGAATTTTTCCTATGCTTTCTTTGAGGACTTTTTTTCCATTTCATGCCTTAAGTTTGGGTCTTTTATCCATCTTGAATCAATTTTTGTAAGTGGAGAAAGGTGCGGATCCAATTTCAGTCTTTTGCATATGGATATCCAGTTCTCCCAGCACCATTTATTGAATAGGGATTCTTTTCCCCAATGTATGTTCTTGTTTGGTTTATCAAAGATTAGGTGGCTATAAGATGTTTGTTTCATCTCATGGTTTCTATTTAGTTCCAGATGTCTATGTCTCTATTTTTGTGTCATTACCATGCTGTTTTGATCAGTATGGACTTGTAGTACAGCCTAAAGTCTGGTAGACTGATGCCCCTAGCTTTGTTTTAATTGCTAAGAATTGCCTTAGCTATGCAGGGTTTCTTCTGGTTCCATACAAAATGAAGAATTATGTTTTCTACATCTTGGAAGTACGGTGTTGGTATTTTAATGGGGATTGGATTGAATCTGTAGATTGCTTTGGGAAGTATAGACACTTTAACAGTGTTGATTCTTCTCATCCATGAACATGGTATGTTCTTCCATTTGCTAATATCTTCTGCTAGTTCTTTTCTTAGGGTTTCACAATTTTCTTTATAGAGATCCTTCACCTCTTTTGTTAAATATACTCCTAGGTACTTCATTTTCTTTGAAGCTCCTGTGAAGGGGATTGTGTCCTTAAATAGCTTCTCATCCTGGCTGTTATCACTGTATACAAAGAGTACTAACTTGAAGACATTGATTTTATACCCTGAGACGTTACTGTATTTTTGATCACTTCCAGGAGTCTTGTGGTTGAGTCTTTGGGGTTCTCTAAGTTTAAAATCATATCCTCAGCAAAGAGGGAGAGTTTGACCTCTTCTGGTCCCATTTGGAAGCCCATCATTTCTTTCTCTTGCCTGATTGTATTGGCTAGAACTTCCAGCACTATGTTGAATAGTAGTAGCAATAGAGGATAACACTGTCTGGTTCCAATTCTAAGTGGAAAAGCTTTCAGTTTTATACCATCCTGTAAAATATTATCTGTGGGCTTTTCATAGATGGCTTTGATAAGTTTAAGAAATGTGCCACCTATGCCTATATTCTTCAGTCTTCTAATTAGAAAAGGATGCTGGATTTTATCAAATGCCTTTTCTGCATCTATTGATAGGATCACATGATCTTTGTTTTTGCTTCTCTTGATGTAGTGATTTATGTTCATGGATTTGCATAGGTTAAACCAGCCTCGCATCCCTTGTATGAAACTTACTTGATCATAGATGTATGACTTTTTTAATGAGAAGCTGTAGTCTATTGGCTAGGATTTTGTTGAGAATTTTTGTATCTATATTCCTTAGTGAAATTGGTGTGAAGTTCTCCTTTTTAGTTGGGTCTGTTGGTTTTGGTAGCAAGGTGATGTTTAATTCATAGAATGTGTTGGCAAAGATTCCTTCCTCCTCAATTTATTGGAATAATATCTGAAGTATAGGTATAAGCTTTTCTTTGAGGGTTTGATAGAATTCTGATGTGAAGCCATCCAGACCAGGACACTTTTTTTTTTTTTGGAGATTTATTTTTTTTTTCTTTCATCTCAGTGCTTGAAATTGGTTTGTTCAAGGGTTCTATTTCTTCCTGGCATTGTGATGGGGGCTTGTAGTCCCATCTGCTCGGGAGGCTGAGGTAAGATGATCACTTGAGCCCCTGAGTTTGAGGTTGCTTTGAGCTATGATGCCATAGCACTCTAGTTGGACAAGAATGTGAGATTCTCTCTCAAAAAAAATTAATACATATATATATGTATAAATGTTTGACTAATTAGATTATTTTAAACAAAAATAATAGTATTTTAAATTTTCCTATGTATTAAAATTTCTATTTATTTAAAATATTTTAGTATTAAAAACACTTAACATGAGGTTTACCCTCAACAAACTTTTAAGTGCACGATACCATATTGTTAACTACTGGCACACTGTTGAACCGGAGATCTCTTGAACCATTTAGTTTGTTTAACTGATACTTTATACCCATTTGAACAGCAGATCCCCTTTTCTACTTTGTAAAAACCCTTTACAAAATGACCTGTCTTATTTACTTTCTGTGTGTTTCCATTTTGTTTATATGATATTTATTTTATAACCATATAATAATTATTATCATTTATCATAATCATCTCATGTACCCATACATATCTTTATGTCTGTCAAAAAATAATCCTGTCTTTGAGGTGCTTCTTAATCTGTAGCACTCTGCTTCTGCTTATTATATCATTTACTATGTTATTTTACAGTTCTTTATCTTCTATCATCCTTCTCTACTAGATGGTAATTGCATAAGGGCAAGGACAGTATCTCAGTCATCACAATATGCCCAGAACCTATTCTTTTTGTTTGTCCACAGGGCTAGGTGCTAAGAGCTGGGTTGAACCATTTTACCTTATCTCAACCTTAATTTTCATTATATTGTTTATCAATGGTTAAGAACTCACATTTTGAAGTCAGACTTACCTGGGATGGAATCTTGCCTTTACTAGATGTGTGATCTTGGAGAAGTTTAATTGTTCTGAGCATCAGTTTTCTCTTCTGTCATATAGGGATGATACAGAACTACTTGGCAGGGTTGTTAAGAAAATTAAGTGAGGCAATGTTTATGAAATGGGGTGGTACATAGAGTGCCTAATACATGTCCTTCTAATTTTACTTGAACTGTTTGTAATATTTATAGAAGTCAAAAAAGTGGGGAGAGGAAGAAGATACCTGTGTAAAAATTGCATTAATGTACACAGCTATGATTTAATTAAAAAAAAAAAGTGTTAACAAAAAAAAATCTGCTTTTTCTCTTTGTTTCAGTACTGGGGATGAGGGCTCTGTTTTTACCTAAGGAAATGATTTTAACTAAAGGAATGACATTCTTGACATTTAGCTGAAATGTATATTGGAAGTCAGCTCCTTTCCTTTGGAACTTAGAGCCCTGCTAATCTTGGTTTCGTGGGCAGACTTCTGCCAGCTTTCCAGTTAGGGCAGAAGAAGGAATACTTATGGGCAAAGAAGATAGGCCACCATAGTCAGCCACTGGGTTTGCATTTCAGTAGAACTTCTTGAGTGCTTTCTGTTGTTCTTGGGACTTGAATAAAGGCTGGCATTTGTGTCTTGGACATAAAGTGTAGTGTAGTATAGTGTTTCCTTACCCTACCACAGCCGCTCACTTGGCATGTAGGGGAGGATATCCTTTCATGCTTTTTTGGATTCTCATGACTATGCTGAGCATGATAACCAAAGGGCCATTGGTAGAAAGTAAACATGAGTAGCAAGAACACAACGGGTAATAGTCCTGGGCTTGGTGTCCAATTATCCTGGGCTTCTCCTCTCTGAGTCTTACATTTTAGATCTATACAATGGATGTTATAATGAGAAGGCAAGCTTGTCTCACAGAATTGTTGCAAGGTGTTAAAGTTATTTAACACAGCAAACAGGTTCCCATTAGGGCTTATTTTCCTTTTCTCTTTAGTAAGCAAGAATAAAATATAGCAGGTACATTCCTGTAGATGAGGATATGGGTGATTGTCTTCTACCTGATGCAGAGTAACACAAGAGATCACTTAAGTTTCATTTAACTCTTAGGCATGAAACATAAGAAAGACAAAAATTGACTTTTGGGTCTTAAGAACCCTGTTATATTTGTTCAAACATGAATAAATTACTTAACTGATTAATGGAGAAATTCATAATTAAACCTTCCAGGAAGGTTTTAGGATTGTTTTTCTGGCCTATCCCGTTCACATCCATCTCAAAGAACTCAGGCACATATCTTTTTGAAGATAGTTTGACTTCTGAAACTCCATCCTTACCATCAATGTTTTAATGGCCAAGTGTTTTGAAGACAGACTAAATGATGTTCAACATCACTGTGCATCATTTCTCAACAAAAGCCTCAAACATAGGAATTCTGCTACTTTATGTTGCAGAATGGTGGCAACATAAAGTGGGATGTCCATATGATCTACAGAGACTTCTAAGGAAAAGGAGGGAATGTTGGGGGGAAAGACCAGTGAAAACTGGCATAATAATACAAATCATGATCTTTCACTTGTGTATTCATTCGAAGAGCCTATATTTTTGCCACCCACTTACAAGTGTTGCATTGCTTGTTTGTGTCTTTTCAGTTTGGAGACTACTAGGGACCATGTTTTACCCATCGACTATTATTTTCCACCCCAAAAGACCTGCCTGATCTGTGGGGATGAAGCTTCTGGCTGTCACTATGGAGCTCTCACTTGTGGAAGCTGCAAGGTCTTCTTTAAAAGAGCTGCTGAAGGTAAAGGGCCGTGCTCATTCACTTTTATTTACTTTTCTCCTTTATTTACCAGAGAAAAACATCAACCTTCCAGGGCCTATAATTTAATCATCTCAAGATGAAATCACTGGCAGGGCCCTATTAAAGAAGCTATGAGCCTAAAGAAAATAATTTTCATACTTGCTGGTCCCCTGGCTTCAGCAGCCTTGGTTGTATAGTCCATGTGAGCAGTGAAGGTGGTCCCAGCTGGTACTTGGAGCTTGGTGCGTCCTAGAAATGAAATAAAATCAGTGATTCAAAAATATGCAAATTCTTTCCTGCTTGTTTTCCACTCTGATATCTAGTGAGGGGAAAAATCGCTCCTTATTAGAGAGGTTAGAAGTGAAGAAACCCCGACTGAGTTCCCAGCTTGTTCTGTGTGATGATTATAAGACTGTTCCTTAGTAAAGGCTTTCTGGCCTCAGCACCAGAAAGGAAGTGTTCTCATTGTTCAGCAGACCATCAGTCTCTGCACCTGCTCCCTTCTGCTGCTGCCTCCTGAGGACCTGTCTTTGTATTAATAGTTCTCAGGTAAGTAAGAACCCACTTTTATTGTACTTTACAGAAACCTGATGGCTTTCCCACTGGTCAAGAACCTAAAGCTAAGTTGCATCTTATATTTGGCTAAGCGGACTCAAACCCTGGCTACTTAGTTTTATTTTGCTTAGAATATTTCATGTCTGCACAGCCCCCGAATATGCTCAGCCTATATTCTACAATGGGAACTCCCATTTCCAGATGTCTTATACATAATTAGTCTCTTCTTCCTTCTAACCACCCTGGGTTTAAACCTTCTATTTATCCTCTTCACTTCTGCACCCCGCCCTTCATACTGAGGGCTTCCTTATCAAAGGGGACATTGGCAAGCAGCCCATAAACATAGATACTCTATTCTGAGACCAGACCTAGTTGTTAAACACCAACATCCACCCCTGCTCCAATTTTCCACAAAATAAGTACTTCCTACTAAGCCCTAATTCCATCCCTCTCACTGTTCTAGACGTGTTAACTTCCAAGACAGAAACAAAATACAGGATCTTTTTTTGCATAAGGGCTACAAGCCTTGAGGACAGTCTTGAAAGATAGGTATGCACATAGGCCACACCATTCAGAGGAATGTGTTGGCACTTACCAGAGGATGGCAGAAACACTAGAGAGTTTGTGCCATCTAGAGAAAAGGTAGAAAGTGGGAGCCCTTTAACTGGACTCCTCACTGAAAGCCAATCATACTAATGAGTGTAGTCTCATTTTATCTGCGTGCCAGGAATATCTATAAAACAAAAAGCTGTCATGTTGTTTTCTTCCAGTCCTTCAAGCAACATGGAGGCAGCTAGCATTTGGTATCACTGAAAATATACTCCATGTTTCACTCATACTCTCAGGTGACCCAATGCTTTTGTTAATGCTAGGCTAGTAGAAAGTCCAGGGCCTCTGTGCCTGCCTCTAGGCAGGTTGGAAAGAGCCTGAGAGAAGTGCCTTTCTCTGTTCAGAGTACTCAATAAAGGATGGCTGTCAGAAAATAATGTAAGGAAAAACTCCAGGGACTTGAGATCACCTCATCTTCCCCAGTATTACCCTGCCACTTCCACATACCCTATCATCAGCAAGGCCTGTGTATAGATCATGGAATGAATGTAAGCACTAATTTATAACTAGCATATCAACAATCCCAGGCCCCACAGGCCATATCAGATGGGAAAAGAATTCAAGTTAGGAAATGAACAGTAAATTCAATAGTCCGATAGATTAGATTATACTTGATGCTGCTTCCGGGTTTTACAAATCTGGGTCACCAAATTGATGTTAGCAGGCAAAATGAAAATAGGCAAAATGATCGACCACACTGTGAAAAGGAAACTTTTGCTGTTATATCATATATCTCACAGGGGATCTTTCTACAGAAGTTAGGGCTGAAGGATGGATGCAGACAGGCAGAAGAGCAACTGGCAAAGCTACCTGGGAGGAACTTTGCAATGACCTGGGTCCTGGAACATCTGAAAACAGGAAAGAGAAGAGATGGCAGAAGGAGGGAACAACCGAACTTACAGAGCACACAGACCTACAGCAAAGTCTTGAAATGCTCCAGATCCTACAGTCACATAACTTAGGGAAACTCAGTAATATTTCCTTTGAGACAATAAACCTTTGTGTGCTCATGGGGCCAAATGCTCTTGACCACTTGAAATATTAAAAAAGCTATAAAAAAAAGAACGTGATGAGCTCTTTGGTTACTTTGGAATGTGGACCCCAGCAAAATTTTCCCTTTCACAGTGTGGCTGGTCATTTCACTTGTTTGGAATGTGGATCCCAGGTTCCAGCCTTGAGCCCTTTAGGACAGAAGACAATGGTTTACAAAACACACATAAACACACAGCAAAAATATATATATATCATTGATGTTTTCTTTCTTCTCCTATCTGTAACGATGGGTGGCTTGATTTTACTGCCTTCATTATCCTTATTTGAAGGCAGGGGCTGTCTTATTGCCCAAAAAGAACATTTATTGATTTTTTTTCCATTTTTACAATGCGTCTTTATCACCCAAATGGCCTTTCTGAAGGTGGTTCTGAATCTGCCTTGTTTTATTTTGGATTTATATTTGTCTTGAGCAGAATAGGAACACAAATCTTTCTCTTCCTCATTTGTTTGTTGTCAGTTAACTCAGACTGAGTATTCAGAGTGTTGATTATCACTTTGTTCATAGTTTTAGAAATCTCCAATCTGGGCATAGGTACAAGATTTAAAAGCCTAACAAGTGAGACAGAAATCCATTTTCTAGCTTTTGTGGTTCATAAAGCATGAGGATTTAATGCTCTCATTGGTGCAGGGCTCAGTGCAGAGTCAACTGTAATTTTCCCAGGTTTTCTTGTTGAGGAGGAAGGAGAGGAGAGAGCTTGACATTTTCTCATTGTCAGTAATGCTAGGGTATTAATGCTAGGGTGATGGTGAGACTGGACAGGGAAGGGTCTGCATATTTTTCAGTGAAAAATAACAGTATTAGGCCATGAGAGTAGAATCACTAAAGTCTGATTGAAGGAGGGGGGAGAGAGAGAGAGAAAGAATAGATAGAGAATATGAATGAATTTATGCTTGAGGGGATGATCTATGGTTTAGAAACAGGCAAGAGGAGAAATAGCTGGTTTGAGGGGTGGGTAGAATGAGTGGAGAGGTGAAGGGGAGGGCAATTGGATGCTACCTAAGAGGCTAGGAAGTCAAAGGAAGGTGATGCCCATACATAGGGGTAAGGGCTCAGACAAGTTTAGTTGTGCAGCCTTAAATTAGAAAGTTTTCCCTTTGGACCTCAGTTTTACCTGTTTGTAAAATAAGGGAGTTGAATTAGAGGTTTTTAAAATGTACTTCCAGCTTAGACTTTCTGTGACAGTTCTACAAATAACAAATATCACTATTATTTCAGCAAACAAATATCCCTTTGTATCTGTATGCACTTTGGCTTTTGTCTTTCTAGAAGATGACTAATCCCAGATCCTAATCAATTAAAAAATCAGTGTTCAGATGGAGAGAGGGTTGTCTGAGAGAGTACACTATAGATGGTCTGGGTTAAAACCCAGGACCCTGAGAGTCTCCCTTGTAACCATGGCTGGGTAACTTCCTTTCTTTTCCATTTTCTCATCTGGAAAATCAGATTATGTATTCCTATTTCTACCTCATCATGTTTCAAAGAGGGTTAATTAATTCATCATGTGCATTATGTGCTCAATAATTTACAATTTTTCAGACATTTTCTAGTAAAACATTGGAGATTGTATGTCCATTTGTTTTGTACACATGGAGCACTGTTTTGTACACATCATAAAATTGAAACTGTAGTTTACATTCTGAACTCAAGGAATTACACCATCCTCGCTGATGTTTACAATAGGTCCCAATTTAGTTTCTTTGGCAAATTTTATATAAGTATGGCTTTGATTCTCTCTCTTGCCCTAGGATTTTGTGAGGGAAGAAATGTAAGCGAACCCCTCATTGAACTCTTTCTGTCTTTTAAATCCATTCTTTCCCACCTCAGCTCATATGGAATTGAATGTTACCTCTTGCTTAGAGGCTTGCAGAGAGTTTTTGGTGTATGTCAGTGTCCTCTTCACGGCCTGGCTTTTTGAGCAACATTTCCCAGGGCCAAATTAATTCTACTAGGAGGAACTGCTTGCAGCTTCAACAGAACCTTGATCAGGTACCTCTGGCCAAGGAGATGACTGATCCCAATTTGGCAAGTCCTACAGATCTTTTCACAAAGCTCCTCTTATCTTTCATTTCTCGTTTCCTTAAATGCCACATTCAAGCTTCAGAGTAGGGGTTGGTAAGCTTTTATTGTAAAGGGTCAGGTAGTACGTAGTTTAGGCTTTGTAGATTGAGTGTTCTCTATCTTGACTACTTAATTCTGCCCTTGAAGTTTGAAAGCAGCCGTAGATAATATATAAGCTAATAGGTGTGGCTGTATTCCAGTAAAACTTTATGGACACTAACATTTGAATTTAGCTTAATTTTCATATTCCATTAAATATTATTTTTCTTTTGTAGGTCTGGAGAATCCAGCTGTAAATCCGTCTAGGCTGGCACTTTTATTTTGTTGGAGATTTGTTATTACTGTTTCAATATCACTACCCATTTAATGGTCTGTTCAGAATTTCTTTCTTCCTGATTCAGCTTTGGGTGGTTGTGGGTTTATCAAGAATTTATCCTTTCCTGTAGGTTTTCTAGTTTATGTAGAAATTTTCATAGGATGCACATATGATAATTTATATTTTAATAGTATCAGTAGTAATGTCTACTTTTTCATTTGTGATTAGGCTCATTTGAGTCATTTCCCTTCTATTTCTGATTAATCTAGTTGCTGGTCTATCAATTTTATTTCTCTTTTTAAAGAATCAAATTTTTGTATTGTTCATCCTTTGTATTGTTTTATTTAGTTTCCATTTTGTTTAGTTCTGCTCTGAGTTTTATTTCTTTTCTTCTGCTAGCTTTATGTT